ATTGACACCAAATTGATCAATTCATTTTATTATCTAAATTTGATCATACAATGCAATATAAGACAATAATATAGTAATTAGAAAAAAAAACTATATCATATTCTTGAAAAAGATTAACAATTTATTTTAAACGTAGTTCGCACTTATAAATAATCAAAAGGAGGAATATTTTAAGAGTTATGAGAAAAACATAAATAAGTAAAAAAAAACAATAAATTTATATTTTAATGAAATCAATAAATCTATACTAATTATACAGTCAATTTTTTTAAGTGACTCCTTAATTTGTGTATATTTTCAAAAGATTTTAAAAAAATAATATTTAAATTAATCATTAACAATTTTAAATAACCTATTTATTCATAAATTAACATATTATATATATAACATAAAATAAATCAATATTCAATGTCTATCTTTTAGAAAAATAATAAATAATAATCAAATTTAAAAGATAAATAATAATCAAATTTAGTAACTTAAAAACGTAGTCTCTATTAAACGAAATTGTTTTTCTTAATTTAATAGCTTATTTAATGATCGATTTTTCAGCTTAATAAATAAGTCACGCGATTATGTTATTTGTATTTTATATTTATTTAGTATAATGAAATTGTTTCCTTTTTATTTTTATTTCATCAAATTTTAAATTATTTTTCAATAGCTCACTGAATTATATATATATATATATATATATATATATATATATATATATATGTAAATTTAAAAGAAATATTTTTAATTTTATCACTTATAATCTAATTAGATGGTTAAATGTTATTTTAAATTACATAAAAATAAATAAAAAATTATCTCTTTTAAATTTAAAATTATTTTATACGTTAGATTGATATTTCAAGTTCATATTATTCATATTTTAATGTAAATAAAACTTAAGTTTACTCTAAATAATTATTTTAATATCTCTTTATAAGTTAAAAAAAAAGTTAAATAATGCTTGAAAATTTAATTTAACAATAAATACAATAATTTTATTAATTTTTAGACAAATATAAAAACTTAACTTTCAAATAAATTATGAAAACTAATTGCTATATTATAATCATGAATGTATATCTTATCTTATATTATATTATATTATATTATATTATATTATATTATATTATATTATATTTTATATATACATATATATTGATAAATTATATATAACATATTGATATATGTTTAAAAAAATAATATATATCTTATACTAATTTTATATAATTCTTTGAAATAAATTACATACACGACACTATATCAATGTATGTTTAAAAAGAAAAATAATGCATACATTTTTATATAAATCTTTAAGATATATTATATACATGCCACCATATCGACGTATGTTGAAATTAAAAAAAAATCTATATAATATCATACTAGACAACAAACCACAAAAATATTTATTTGATTTTTTATTATTAAAATATAAATCATAAAATGATATAATTTTAATATTAATAGTATTATTTTGCTAAATACTTTTATACTAATTACTAATTAAAATAACGGTTAAATTTAAAATTCATTTTGAAAGTACGATTAAGCTTAAGCTGGAATCTAAAAATATAGAGATGCGGGGTATCGATCCCCGTACCTCTCGCATGCTAAGCGAGCGCTCTACCATCTGAGCTACATTCCCACATGAAATAAGTCGTCATTATATATTTTTTACTCAAATTGAACTATTTTTCTTAATTTCTTTAATTTGAGTTTTGTTCCAAACAAAGTGTGAGGACATCGAATTTGTGTCATAAATGTCCCAAAAAGCTGCATATTCATTATCATTGGTCCACACTTTATCTTTCATTAATTGGTGAAATTAAAGCTCTCACCACTTCCAAAGTTCATTGCAACATGGTCCATATCATCCTCCTTCAAATTGAACTCTCAAATTTCAACTATTTTTCTGATTGTAACTAGTTCGGTGTCAAAATTTCTACTTAGCTCAATAATGTTAGTATGTTTCTAACAATTTTATTAGAACATTATTTTCTTTTTTGTTACCAACAAAGATATCTTTGCACATATATAAGGACTAATAGTTCTTCACAGTTTGATGGATACTAAAAAGTTTGACATACCTTCTAGCTTGACTTTTCTATGTTCCTAGAATCAGATTCAAACTTGAGCCACTTTGATCAATGTATGAGTCTCCACTCACACCAATCAAAGTTTGCTTAGAATTGAAGTAGTCATACTGTACTTTTGCACGATAAATAACAATAAATTTCCTTTATCAAACTTTTGTTATCTAGACATTGTATTTATACTACATTTTTTTTTTTACTCGTTTAAGAGATAGAAAATAAAATAAAAAATTGTACATAAAATAATTGACGTGTAAAGTAAAATACTATGAGAGGGTTGTAAATAATATAGTGAGTAAACTTTTATTCTTTACGAGAAAAAAAAATTAAGATGAACCAATATCTATGTAATCTCTAAACAAAATTGTCACTTAACTTTTATCTTCTTAGTATCAGTGACGAAAATAAAAATAAGAAAACAGCTTTCATTAACAAATAGTTCTTAGTATATATTAAATATTTTAGGCAATTAAAAATATTTAATCAAATATTAACATGTTCATAAACTTTTTGTATATCTTTGTCGAAATTAATCGTTAGGTATGAACTTTCTCATTTTAAACATAACTTAGAAATAAATAAAAAATATATATATATATATATATATATATATATATATATATATATAGTAGACCCTTAAATTAAAGAACATCCAAACCTAGAAACAAGAGCACGCCCATCAAACGGAAAGAATTGATAAATAAATAGGAGGCGGGTAAGCCCGAATAGCTTCCTCAAAAGCATGATGTAGCGACTTACTATTAATTAATAATGCGAGCTAGCATTTGGGGCTAATGTCTGTAGATGTGATACCTCCTGGTCAGAGACGGAGAATCGCTGTTATCGGATCTGGTAATAAACGTATGCTTAGTAGGGAGGGGCTCGCCCAGATGCTTTGCGAGACCGAAAGCTTCATTTTGTGTTCGGTTGCGTTATCTACCGCAAAGAGGGACTCCCCTTTCTATTAGAATAGTGTTAGTTCGCTATTACTGCCGGTCAGGCCGACGATAATATATATATATATATATATATATTCCTCCCTTGAAAGATATTTAAATTACTCTCTCGTTATCTCTTATTTTAAAATACACACTCCCTCCCTTAAAAAATATATATATAAAATTTAATGTAAGTCTATTTAAAAAAAAAAGCATTTTATTAATTAGAGATTTTATCTCTTGCTAAGAAACTTCTCACATAGTCAACTGAGTAATTTTAAACAATTAATATAAATTTTATTACCTTAACAAGATGGAATTCAAAGGCAATAATAAAAGTATTTAAAACTTAATTCTGTCTTCTAAAATATTAAAAGAAATAATAGATATTCAAAATTAATGATGGTGAAAGTTATAGAAAACAATGTAAAATATTATTAGGAGTATTCATTATTATTCTCCCAACCATTAAGAGGTTCTTTATATAAAAATAAATTGAGAAGGAAAATGTAATTTAAAATATCAAGGTTCATACGAGATTTTTTCCCCGCTTAGCATTATTTTAACATAAATTTTTATATATAACATACTGTATGTAATATTTACATAAGTAGCACACTTTTATAAAAAGTCAAACATTTCAAAAAAAAATTTCTTCACTAACATTTTATTAAATTTATAATCCGAAATAACATCATTCTATCAATATTTACCCGATTAGCACAATTTTCTTACACGGTTGGAATTCGATTCTTAGGAGGTCGAATTCCAACCTCACTAATTAATATAACTTTAAAAATAAAATAATATTTAGTAAATATAATAATTAAATGTAAATATATATATATATATATTATATAAAATATATATATATATATATATTATATATATATTCTTTTTTTTTAATATTTATATAATTATATTATTAATATATTTTTATAAATATTGTAAAAACAAATATATTTAATATATATATATAATATTTAAATATTATTTATATTTTTATAAATATAATAAAATATAATAAATATATATTTATATCTTTCTATATAACATTTTTACATAAATAAATTATATATATTATTTAAATATATTTTTAATATAAATAATTTTAATAAGTAAAAATAATATTTTTTTATAGAAATATATAAATATTTTTATTATTTTTATTATATTTTAATATATTTTTACTATATTTATAAAAATATATTAATAATATAATTATATAAATATATTTTTATGTTATTTAAAAAAAATATTTATATTTATTTCATATAATTATATAAATAAATTTTAAATATATATATATAATATTTATTTTATATAAAAAATATATATTTATATTTATTTATTATATTTAATAAATATTATTTTATTTTAAAAATTATATTAATTAGTGAGGTCGGAATTCAGCTTCTTAGTAATCGAATTTCAATAATATATATAAAAATGGTGCTGAATTTCAATAATATATATAAAAATGGTGCTAATTAGATAAATATTGATAGAATTATATTATTTTTGAATTGTAAATTTAATAACATGCTAATTAGATAAATATTAATAAAATGATATTATTTTTGAATTATAAATTTAATAAGTGAAAAAAAACTTCATACGATGTTAGTTGTTTTAACTGACTAACTAAGCTTTGGCGTCAAACTTCACTGCAATAGCAACAAAACCATCTTCTATACTAGTGAATAAGTTAAACAGGTTGAGTAAGGGGATTCGACATGTAAATCTTTTGCTCTCACATAAACCTACTCTTAATGAAAGCGAATTTCATCACACACGATGAACCCTCTTCATTTTTTTGTGAGTTTTGTTCCTTCTTTTCTAAAAGAGAGATTCTCTCTCACTCTATTGCATTTCTATTACTATAGGAATGGCTCGAAAAGACTTTGATTAATGGCCTTGTAAACTTAAGGCCTTATGTATATACCATTTGAAAACTTTCCCTTTGTTTTCTTCATCCGGTTGTTGTTGTTCCTGTTCCTCTATATTTGTATCTGATAGCCCAAAACAGGTAATGTAAGAAGTTCAACGCACTTAGCACACACATAAGCCAGTAAAACCTCTCTAGGTGATAGTGGTTAAGGTTGGCCCCAGATAGCCATGGTCTATGTGAGGTGTTACCAGTGACACTATTTACAATTGATACAATTGCTGAACTAAGGTAGTATCCCACAGCCAAAGAGGCAAAAGAGAGTGATGTGGCCAAAGATCTCATGCTAGATGGTGCTTCTGTGAAGAAAAATTCCAATAATCCAGCCAAGGTGAAAAGATCAGCAGATCCAAGGAACAAGTACTGGAAAGCAATCCAAAAGAATGTGATAGGGAGTGGTTTGGTTGCATCATCTAAAAGGCCTGAGTGAGTAGCCACCGCTTTCCTTTTTACCTCAACAACCGCTGCCACTGCCATGGCCACAATAGAGAGGACCAATCCAATTCCAATTCTTTGGAGGTGAGAAATTCCCATCTCTGTTTTGGTCACTTTTCTTGCAAATGGGATGATGATGTGGTCATAAACTGGTGCTAGGATCAGGATAAAGAGAACTGGGAAGATTGGTAAAGAGGATGGTGGCACCTTTAGTGAACCAAGTTTGGTGTTCATTGTTGCAGCTTGTTCAACAGAGAAAGTGGATAGTTGAGCCAAGCAGCAGTTTAGCATAATGGTGCAAGCAAATATGGGTAGTACTTTCAGCACTACCTTGACATCTTCTACTTGCTCCACAGTGCACTCTATTGATGAACACATTGGATTTTTTTCAAGTGCTCTATTGAGAAATTTTAGGGTCTTTGTTGGGGCTTCACTTTCCTTGTTTGCATTGGCAGGTTCTTTTCCTCCTTGTTTTCTAACTGAGTATAGATTAGAAGGGCTTGAATTCATATTCACCACTGCACTGCTAGAATTTCTATTGAAGTAGCCGTTAAGTGAAGCAGCAACTAGTACCTGCTTTGGTCAAAACCAGGAAGAACACATAATTAAAAGAGTGAAGACTATCATGGAGGATGAAGTGATGAAAAAGAAAGTTTATGTGGTACGTGATTCAACTTTTTGTTTTTCCAACTCTTCTTAATAGTAGAAGTGAAAACAAAATCTGAAAATGGTTGTGAAAACAAACTAAACATATATCTGAGAGCACAAACACTTAATAATTACATATAAGTTTTTATTATTTACCTTGAAAATGGTTGTGAGTGGACTTCCAGAAGGGATCTTGCTTTTATAAGTAGCAGAGCCTGCCAAGAACACAAGGATAGATACAACTATACTTATAGTAGAGATTCCGAAACCCCATTCCCACCCTTTGTTGTCTTCAACCCACACAACAAATGTAACTGCAATAAGAGCACCACAAGATAAGCAAAAGACAAAGTAGTTGAAGAAGGTTGATCTTTGCTTCCTTCCAGATGGGGTAGCCTCATCAAATTGCTCAGCACCATGTGGAGGTAGTGACCCCTTAATTCCTCCAACTCCAAGAGCCACCAAATAAAGTCCAGCAAATAATATTGCTGCTTTTCCACCAGTAACTTCATGACATGGGGTGGTTGGATCACATGCTGGTGGCTTTAGTGAAGGCACACGAGCTTGTACAGTCAGCACAATCAATCCCTGCACACACAAGATCCTATTCCCTTAGCCATGTATAGTTGTGCAAAATAATATAGAGAATAAGAATACGGTGTTCATTCTTTCAGTTTTTTAGTTTAATTATGTTAAGAGTTGGACCTATGTCTGATGTAGAAAAAGAAAACTTCACACAAGTTTTTGTCTGAAACTAGTTTGTAACTATGATAGATGCATATGGGTCTAGTACTATTTTATTTATATATGTTCTCTTTGCTGATAAGAAAAAAGAGAAAAAGAGAAAATGGTATAAAAAACAGTATTCTTATAAATTTATTGCATGGATAACATATTTAGTTACTGTTTGAGTTCTGAATGCGCTTATGAACAAGAAATCATGAAAGTCAACCAGTGAGCAGCCATACACATAAAAGAGTAGTACAAACGAGTACCATTTCAAAAATGTGACCAAATAAGGAAGTGTCAACCTCTGTTGATGAGAAATGGCCACGTAAGTGGACCTAGGCCATGTGCTCAACCCCACTTCAGCCCCTGGACTATATATATATATATATATATATATATATATATATATATATATATATATATATATATATATATATATATATATATATATATATATATATATATATAATAGAAAATGACTTCTTATAAATCATGATACGTCACTTTGAGATTTTGGCATCTGAATAGTAAGGTATATCTTCCATCTAAAGTCCTAGCATGGTGATATTTTGCGATTCTCACAACGTAACTATCAAAATGACATCCACAAGAACTTTGGTTTGATTTCATGAAACTTCTCTAGCTAACTAAATAGCTGAGGTTGGTCGGGTTAAAGTTGTTTGATTACAAATATCTTGAGTATAGTTATTTCCTTTTCACCTAACTTCAGCCCCACATTGATTAGTGTTCAATATTAGCATATAAATTAGCATTAGATAGGCTTTTAATTGCACCTCTTACAGTTTCTTTTGAAGTTACAGAGGATTTGACTTGGGATTGCGTGTTATAGAAGCCTTGATATGGGGGGGTAAATACCGACGATAAACTAAGCAATAAATATCTGAGAATATAATAATATATATTCAAATAAAGTACTGACTTTTCAACATCAATTTTCATTCTTCACTAGAAAACAACCTGTTTTCACTATAAAGTGACGTGGTATTTTTTATAAAATTTAAGAAAGTATATATTAAAGGTGACGTGAGCGAAACAATATTCATAAATCAAATAGTGTCAGAGAATAGACCCAAGAACACAGATAATGGTGTTTGCGCACTCTAAGTCATACCAATTTTAAAAAATTATTAATCATGTTTTATTTTGCCCTGATCTATCAAATAAGAACTTGTGCAGATGAATATAATTCTCCTAAAGATTTAATTGTTTATTTTGGGTAAGCAATAATGAAGATTGTGAAAACTGGAATAAGTTATAAACTATTAAATAGTTAATATAATACAAAGAAGAGGGGGAAATTAGTATACGAAAGAAGAGTCCTAAGTTATTAGAAGTGATGGCGTACAGAGAAGGGCATGTGTTTTTGAGAAAGCCGAAACGACAACAGATGTTACTTTCCATGTTCAAACTTGACTGAACAAATCTCTATTTATCCAACATGTGGCAGTGGCACAAAAACATAGGGACCTAGGCATTCACAAAGAAATTATTATACGTTGCATGAACTATGCATATAAATAGCTGGGTCCCCCTCTATCTTTTAAATTAAATTATTTTTCCTCTGACTTTTTTTTCTCATGACACCAATAGTAAATGCATATGAGAAGAGAAAAAAAAAAAAAACTCCCCCATCAACATTATTGTTAATTTGTCTTATCCACTCCTATGTGTCACAAGCCACTTTTTTTTTTCATCTCTCTCTGCTACTGTTTGTCTTTCTTAGCCACCACTAGCAGGAGATTTCTTGCACAATTTGGAGTTCAAGGTTAGCGTTGTACCAATGTGAGGAGAGATAAAGCTACCCACATGCTTTTTTTTTTTTTTTTTCCTTTTCTTTTTTGCTCTTTCCCTTTCCCATTTGGTGCCATAAAATATGATTCTTGACTTAGACCAGTATCTTAGTGGGCGTTGGCTCATGCAATTCATGAGATTTTCTATGACCAAGTGCGCGAACGAATGCAGCAAAAAGAAAGCGAATCAAAGGGGAAGATAAGACAGTTTTCTTTTAAATTAATTAATTAATTGTTTTTTTCTAAATCATTGACATCTTTTCAATTCTATTATGGTGATTTGGTTGCATCATTTGATGCAGCCCCATCTTGCAAGTTGTGTTTGCACTTTGCAACTTGCGAATTGACTCAGATTCTGGTTAAGACAAACATCATGGCTTTGAAAGACACTTGCTCTTTAAGGAACCCAATACTCAACCCAACTCAATCTCTTCTGTCCCCTTCCCCCTTCTCACTCTTCCTATTCAACAATCATTCTACAATGGGAAAGGAAACAAGCACATGCAAAATTAAGGTACCATCAATAACTGTATAACACCAGATTGTGCAGTTTGTGAGAGGAATTAAAGTCATATATAGGAAAGAGAGAGAGAGAGAGAGGAGAAATAGCACTATGATGGTGGAAGATGCATACCAGGAATTCGATCACTGCGCTTATCAGATAGATATGATAAGTTGTGAAAAAAGCATCAGATAAGAAACCTCCAAGGAGGGCAAGGAGGAAAGCAGTTCCCATGAAATTTGTGACATTGTTGGCAGATTTGGAAGGGGACATGTGCATGTATTGCCTCAGATACAGCACCAAATTGCTTGCATTGGCTAGAAATGCCAGATTCTCCAATATCTCCACCACTGCGCAAACACAACACACACACGCACTTACAAATTAGTGCCACACATAATTTATATCTCTCATCATTACTCACATACACATGAACTATAATAAACAACCCACTTGGACTAGTTTTAACTCCAATCCAACCCAATCATCACACTCACAACAAAGACATACTCATCACTCACACACACATATTATAAAATATTGAGTGATGGAGAGAGGGGATCAATTTGGGACAGACCCAAAACAAAAGAGGCTGCAAGCATGCCACCATGGCGGCCTCTGAGAGCAGGCTTGTTCCTCCAGTTCACATAGCCTTCCCATCTGGTTATCTGGTTTTGTTCTAATTCCTACAAAAGGCAATCAGAAAAAAAAAAAAAAGTTAAACAAATTAAAATTATACATGAAGAGTAGCATGTGATATAAATTAATTGGGGAGAAGAAAGGTGAGAGGAGAAGAGTGGAAGAGGTAGAGGGAAGAAAAAACCAACCATGATTCTCAATCTCTCTCTCTCTCTATTTTCTTTTAGGTTTGGATCTGTGAGAGAGTGTTGGGGGGAGAAAAAGAAAGATGGCTTGTGGATGATTTAAAGAGTGTGGAGAAGGAGGAAGGAAAGGTGCAACTTGGGCAGAATGGTCTAGACACTGCTCTGCAACTATTAATAACAAATTGACTTTATTTTCTTCTTTGCACTCTTCAAGAAAACGTATATTTTCTTATCATTTTATATACTCTTTATTTAATGAATACATAACGTTTCTTAAAACAAGCAATAAATACATTAATTTACCTATTATTTATTAATTATTTATCTGATGTTATTAATTAATAATACTATTTTGAATTTAAAACAAATCAGGAAAATACTAGTATATATGCATGTATACGATGTTATTAATCAAATTATATACATTGGTGAATAAATTATAAAATAAAATATACATTAATTTTTAAATTTTAGATATAAATAATATATTTTAAAAAAATACTTACATAAAATTTTTGTCAAATTTTTCGCTCAATTATTGTTTATACCCAAAATTCTATTACTAACAAGTTTTTTTTTCTTTCATTCACTTTTTCTTATTTTTTACTTTCCTTTTTCTTCTCTCCTCTCTCACTCTCTTTATTTTAATTATATAAATATATAAAGATTATAACAATTATGATAATGAGTAGAAAATTTCATTTATCAATTAAAATATAATAATATAAAAAATAATTATTTGTGTGTAAATTATATAATGAAAAAATTAATATATATTTTATTGAAACTCTATATTTTAAGATTTATAAATTTGACATATGTATTTTTTATCATTTATCTATAATTTTATAAGAAAATAAATTGTATCTTATAAAATTATTTAAAATTGATTTATATGATTAATTAATCTTTTAATATTTTAAAATTAGCTTATTTTATTTGTTTTGATAATATTTCATATAATATCACAAATACTAATAATGATTAGATGAGTAATTAATTTAAGTATTATAATAAAATAATTTTAAAATAATTATTTATTATTATCATAAATAAAATTATTTATTGTCATTATAATTTTAAATAATTAATTGATATTTTTTAGTTTTATTATTGATTTAAAAAAATTACTTTAATGTGTCTTCACGACCTTTCAATCTAATATTTTTACATGATTTTATATGATGTGAGATAAAATAAATAGAGAAAGTTGAAGAAGAGAGTAAAGAATAAGGAAGGGTAGGAGAGAATAACAAAAGAGGTGGTGTGAGCTCCTTTTTTATCTCGTTGATAATTTAATTATATTTTAATATATGATTATTTTTTATTAAATCTTCATGTATATAAGATATGAGATAAATATATAAATATGTGAACTTTACATGTTTACATTATTTATGTATCAAAAATAATTATTAAAATTGATAAATAATTTTTTTTTAAGTAATTTATTTATCAATGATAATTGTCTTACATTTTTACATCTTCATTTATTTAAGTTGATATTTTTAGTTGTAATATGTACAAGAAATAATAATAAAAAATGAGAATAATTATTATGTAAAATAATATAATCTTAAAATAATATATAAAATCAACTTTTCAACTTCATCATCATATTATATTTATTTATTTATTTTATATTATAAAAATTTGAATTGATTTTTGTAGTGACTAGTTAAGATAAACGAGTTCAAAATTAATCACTTTTTAAGTGATATCTACTCGGTTCAATCCTTAAGATTCAGACCTCCAATTACAATGTTATCAAATCTTCATAAATAAATATTCTTCTTTAAAAAAAATTAAAATAATTAAATAATACAAATAAAAAATATTAAACAAGGACCATAGCGAAATTGAGGATAAATCTAAATATAAAATAGGACTCATGCGTAACTCGGAGGTAAATAAATAAATATAATAGAATCAATATGTAACTAGAGATAGATAAATAATATAAAAGGAGACCAATAGTAATTAGAGATAAATAAAATAGAATCAATGTATAACTAGAAATAAATAAATTAATTAATATAAAAGGGAACTAGTGTGTAATTAAAGATAAATAAAATAGGACCAATACATAACTAGAGATAAATAAATATGGACTAATGCGTAATTGGAGATAAATGAAATAGGACAAATGTATAATTGGACATAAATAAATAAATATAAAACAGGACTCGTGCGTAACCAGAGATAAAATAAATATAACAAAATAAATAGAATGAGGTTAGGGACACCTTCTTAATCTCTACATCATTAGATACACATATTCTATCATTAAATCTCAAAATTCTTATCCTATCTATGCCAAAAAATAATCTATTTTTTTGTCAATCAACTTCTTTTTCTTTTAAATGAATTCATTACTTACCTAAGTCTCATGGATTTGCCTTTGTAAATCACCAATAATTTGAATTCAGTTTAATTTCATTTTATCAAAGCTCACGGTAATTGAAAAATTTGTGTCTCTGAATTTGTCTAGTAAACTCATCTCATGAATCATCAATGAAGACACATGTAAATTTTTTTTTCTTAAAGCGCCTACCACTACATTTGCCTTTCTTGAGTAATAATGTAATTTAAAATTATAATCTTTCAAAATTTCATTTATCTTCTCTATCTCGTATTTAACTCTTTTTTTTATCATCATACACATAATGTCCCCATATTTTGAGTGCAAAAACAATGACAACTAGTTCTAGATCATGGGTTGGATAATTTCTCTCATGTGCTCTTAATTGTCTAAAAGCATATGCAACAACCCTACTATCTTGCATAAGAACACATTCTAATCTCATTTTGGAAACATCACAAAGTATTCAATATGGTTAGGTAATGTTATCATAGGAAAAGTAGTTTTTTTTAAGCTCTTGAAAATTTTTCTCATTATTTTTTTGTTCATTCAAAAGTTTGATCTTTCTTGGTGAGTTGGGTTAAATACATAGCTATTTAAAAAATCATTTAATGAATCTCCTATAATACCCTGTCAAACCTAGAAAACTATGAATTTTAGTCATTGTTTTTTGTGGATTCCATTATAGAATTGTTTTTACTTTCGTTGGGTCTGCTAACACTCATTTGAAAATCACATGACCCAAAAATTTCATTTCTTCTAACCAAAATTCATACTTTGACAATTTAACATATAATTGTTTATCTTTAAAAATCTGAATAATAGCTCGAAGGTATTCCTCATGGTCTTCAAAAGTTTTAAAATAAATAAAAATGTAATCTATAAAAACAACAAAATGGTCCAAAAAGGGTCAAAAAATCTTATTCATATAATCTATGAATAATGCACGAACATTAATAACACCAAAAGGAATCACTTGATATTCATAATGACCATATCTGGTTCTAAATGCATTTTTTTATATATTTTCTACCTTTACTCTAATTTGAAGATATCCTAACCTTAAATCTATTTTAGAAACACACAGAAGCTATTCTTAATTGATCTATTAAATCATCTATTCTAGGAAGATGATATTTATTCTTTATGGTGAATTTATTTAACTGGCGATAATCTACACAACCTTAAACTTCCATTTTTCTTCTTAACTAACAAAATAAGGGTTTCCCAAGGTGATACACTAGAATGAATGAATTATTTCTCAAGTAATTCTTCTAATTGTTTCTTCAATACTATTAGTTCAAAGGGTGACATGGTGCTATAGAAATTGGTTCAGATCTAGGCATCAAATTTATTGAAATTTTAATCTCTTTGTTGGGTAGCAAACTAGGAATATCATTGAGAAAAACTTTAGGAATATTTTGAACAACTACTATACTTTTCAAATTGATTTCCTCTTTTAGTTTCATAAAAGATAATAACAAATATCTTTGAACTTCATTCTTTAAAGGCTCACTTACTATGTTGGTAAATGAATTCAAAAGATCCTCAAAATTTGAGAATATTTCATATTTTTTTGCACAATTTAAAAGGACTTGATTGGAAGATAATCAGTACATACCAAAGATTATATCTAATTGAGAAAAGATATACAAATTAAATTTACAAGAAATTTCTTATTTTTAATGAATAGAGGACAATCTAGACAAACTTTATTCGTAATTATTATAAACATCCTCATGTGAGTTGAAACAATCAAACTAGTGTCAAGAGTTGGAAATGAATGAATGAATGAGTTACACCAAGTCATATAGTATATTCAAAGTTTTACCTTTAATGAAACACATATTGGATCAAATCATTGTTTTGAGGGACTTCAACTCCAGTCATGGTATCTACTCTCCTTGTTCTTGTAGGTTTTGTTTTGGGTGCAAATGGATTGAAATTTGGTTTTTGTTGCTAACATTCAAAGAATATTTGATCAAGTTTTCCACACTTGAAACAAACAAGTCTTTTAAGATGACAATCTTTAGCATAATGATCTTACCCACACATAAAACACTTAGGTTAATTTTTTACAGGTTTGTTAGAATTTCCTGCAGAAAATTGGTTGGGTAAAGATCTCCATTGGGGGTGATTGTAAGGCTTTCTTTAATCTTGTCTCCTTTTATTTTGTTGGGGTTCTAAATGTTTTGGTTTATTATTTTGATGTTTTCAAAATCCTCAAAAAATATGCACTTATGAATAATTGTAAGGAAATCAAAATTTCTAATATTCTCACTGTTTTTCTATATTCAAGCCTAAGTCTATTCTCAAATTCTATACACTATATTCTTTCATCTAGGTGATAAAAGAACGCAAAATATTTTTCTAACTCTTCAAACTTAAAGACATATTCTTCTACTATCGTACCCCCTTACTTTAATTGTATAAATTCTATTTCTTTTACTCTCTTCACATCATTGTAAAAATGTTTTTCTAAAAATTTTGTTCTAAACACTTTCCAAGTAATGATTATTCTTTCTCCTTCCAGTAATCTCCTAGTACTATTCCATCAATATTCAGTCTCTCTTATTAATATAAACACAATATAATTCACTTTTTAGTTGTTAGGATAATTCATAGCTCAAAATATTTTTTCTAA